ATATACATAGTGAACGAGGTCAAGAACAACCCTGACATATACATAGTGAACGAGGTCAAGAACAACCCTGACATATACATAGTGAACGAGGTCAAGAACATCCCTAACATATACATAGTGAACGAGGTCAAGAACAACCCTAACATATACATAGTGAACGAGGTCAAGAACAACCCTAACATATACATAGTGAACGAGGTCAAGAACAACCCTAACATATACATAGTGAAGCAGGTCAAGAACAACCCTAACATATACATAGTGAATTAGGTCAAGAACAACCCTAACATATACATAGTGAAGAGGTCAAGAACAACCCTAACATATACATAGTGAAGGAGGTCAAGAACAACCCTAACATATACATAGTGAAGCGAGGTCAAGAACAACCCTAACATATACATAGTGAACGAGGTCAAGAACAACCCTAACATATACATAGTGAAGCAGGTCAAGAACAACCCTAACATATACATAGTGAACGAGGTCATCCAATGCTAGGCTGTTTCTTGGAGTAAGATTAAATGTACGACTGATATGTAGTAAGTTAGCATTTCTTATTTTACATACTAGAACTTTCAGGTAGAACAATGTGTCACATCTCGTGCCACATATCTCTTATATATAATCATAACTTTCAGGTAGAACAATGTGTCACATTTAGTACCACATATCTTTTATATATAATCACATCTTTCACGTAGAACAATGTGTCACATTTAGTACCACATATCTTATATATAATCACATCTTTCAGGTAGAACAATGTGTCACATTTAGTACCACATATCTTATATATAATCATATCTTTCAGGTAGAAGAATGTGTCACATTTAGTGCCACATATCTTATATATAATCATAACTTTCAGGTAGAACAATGTGTCACATCTAGTACCACATATCTTATATATATAATCATAACTTTCAGGCAGAACAATGTGTCACATTTCATACCACATATCTCTTATATATAATCATAACTTTCAGGTAGAACAATGTGTCACATTTAGTACTACATATATTATATATAATTATAACTTTCAGGTAGAACAATGTGTCACATTTAGTACCACATATCTCTTATATATAATCATAACTTTCAGGTAGAACAATGTGTCACATTTAGTACCACATATCTTATATATAATCACATCTTTCAGGTAGAACAATGTGTCACATTTAGTACCACATATCTTATATATAATCACATCTTTCAGGT